CGTCGTTCGTTCTTCTCTCTCTCTCTCTCTCTCTCTCTCTCTCTCTCTCTCTCTCTCACACACACACACACACACACACACACACACACACCAAATTATAAATGCAGAATTTCTTTCCTCTATCCAAAGCTTCACCAGGGTATCTCTCTGGAGCAATGGAAACCCAGCCCGTTCCTTAACATCACCTCCATGTCACTGACAAGGGGGGATTATGAATACAAATCTAATGTACAACAGGAACAGAATGGGTGGGCTCTTGTAAGTAAGAATGAGAATCCCCTGCAGCAGGGCACAGGAAAGACTCCAAGTCAAACAGTCCTGCAGTCAAATATTCTGTTCAACAGGATGTGTGTGTTTCTCAATAAGGAGAAAAAGGATGCCCCTTGGAAAATTTAGACTGGCGTCTAGGGCCAGGAGAGAGGGAACATGCTAGGGGAAGGAGAAAAGAGGATTGTTTCCATTAAGATGGCAGCCAGCATCTGAAAGCTGGCAAGCCATGGAGCACATCTCCCCAGCTGTACTGGAGCGGGTGAACTGTGATAAGGGGAGGGGAGACAGAGAGAGCAGTGACAGGGTCAGTGTCCATCAGCTAGTCCAAAAGAGCTCTGGTGGGGCAGAAGAATTTGTCTTCTTGGGTGGCAGCCGTGACAGTCATGAAGTCACTTCCCAGAACCTACCATGGGATTAATCAACTCTCTCTGTGTGGAAAGCAAAGATAATTCTGCTTCCTTCCTCTCTTCCCAAAGCCCGCAGAGGACATGGGCAATTGTGTTCAGAATGCCTGTCCACGGGGCTTGGGGATGCTGTGGAGGCAGAGTGCTCAGCCAGATAAGTGTTACCCAGCAGATCTGCAGGGAGCTATGCCCAGCCTTGCTCATTCAAAAGGATGGTTTGCCACAGGGTGGCGTCTTAGGGAGTATCAAGGGGAGGACATGACTGAGAAGGAGGAGAGTGAGACAGAGCTCGCCCATTCCCCACCCCCAGGAAACAAAACAGTTACCTTCCTCTCCCATGGCTTCAAAGAAGCTTAGAGTCTAATGATTGAGGCCAGCAAGACAGGGCTGCTGGTCTCATGCTGCTGGGGTGCTGGTCACTAGAGGGTCTGCCTGAACATTGTTAACACCCCGTGCTGGGCATTGTCAGCCTCTCCTGCCGCATGAATTTGTCCCCAGTGCTGCTCCTGTTACCAGGTTAATGAGATCCATTGTGCTTGGCCTCTGCAGCGTGGTGCGGTGGTTCACTTAGCTATGCCTGTCTCCCTACCAGCCCTGATCATTCCAGCAGTTTTATGCATGTTGGATAGCACCTTATTTCACTGGTAGTCCCGTTGAAAACAATGGGACTCACGGCGTATGGTGCAGCTCAACTTGCTGCCACACACCTACCAACTATGAAGCCATGTCCCGTGACATCCAGGTCAGATGCCGTTATAGGTGGGACCATTGGAACAAAAATGTATAAAGTGAGAGAGGTGTGGGAGGATCAGTTACAACAGCTTTATTTTAGAGCAGGATTACCCATCACTGAAAGAGTCTCCAATGCCATCAGCATCAGTGAGGACTTGTAAGCTCATGATGCTGATGTTTATTCTCTCTCCTGACCCTCATTGATCCACTAAGTGACATGCCAGCCCACTAAACCAGCTGGCCTGGGTTTCAGAACAGGACTCACTTTTCTCTGTCTCTCATTTCCCTGAGCTCACATTAGCATTTGTAGATGTTGCAGTGTGTGTGTGTGTGTGTGTCTCTCTCTCTCTCTGGTATAAGTGGGTGTGTTTCTGTGTCACACCTTTGCACCCTCTGGTCTCACTCCCCAGGTAGTATCCTCCCTTCATACCCTCATTCTGCTTCTTGGGACTCACTTTGTTTATTCCCTCTCAGCAACTCTGAAGCAAGAAAATACATCCCTCCTCCCCCAAATTAAATACATAAATGAATGAAGTCCATAGTAGAAATTAAATTAATATAGTAAAAATCCATTCAACATCAGAAACAGAGTCCAGTTGGCCAATGTCAGTCCAATACACTCCCCCAGGCAGTGTAGGGAATTAATGCCTGTATATTTCTAACTGCTGGGACACCAGCAACATCAATAAAGCCGTTATGCCCTGCCCTGCAAGGACCACTCTCTCCTGGATTGAGAGAGAAGAATACCATCTCCCTGGGCATTCAGCCTTGATCCCACTCCACACACTGCTCCACCTGCCGTACTCAAACTTGACCTTGACAAGACCACCCTCTGCTGGAACAAAAGGATCCTCATGGGGGGGAAAAGTCTCAGCTCTTTGCCTTTGTCTCCATCCAGTACAATCTCTGCTAAAGTATACTACACTTTCCTCCGGTGCATTCTTACAAAGGAATAATAAATACCGATGGTAAATGGAGAACTAACAGTGATCATTTCACTGTGCATCAGTTTTCCCCTCATTAGCATTTCCTTTCCTTCCTTAGGCTTGTTCCTGGAGACGGGAGTTCTCCACATACCCTTTTGTCCCATTTTCTGGGCAAACAGCATTGCATCTCTGCAGTAGACTTGCTGCTTCTTTGTTTACTTTTTTCTACTATACATCAGTTTTTAACTCTTTGGTAACTGATGATTTCAGAGCGTCTCAGTGTGGCAGCTGAAAATTCCAGCTCCCAACATCAGAGTTAACAACCAAATAGATGCCTACACACACACACACACACACACACACTCAAAATAAAGCCTGTGTGGATGCTTTCTGCCATATCTCTCTACTTATATCCAGCATATACATATGCAGTCTCCTGTTGTACTGATATATGTACTGTGCAGAATAAATGATGCTTAGCTGACTGAAATAGCTTTATTAGTTTATAGGCTTTTATAGCTGTGCACTCACATTTTGCCCAGGAGCTGTAACAAACTGAAAGATTACCTAGGAAGATGGATATGAAATTTGCAACATCCAAATGTGAAAAAGGAATTGCAGATTTTCATCATCAGTCTAGAAAGACTGAGTAAATAACAACTGAGGAATTTACAAGGAAGTAATTCCACCACGGGGTACTGGTGAAGATCTAAACCATAAGAATGAAATTCAAGCATCCAGATCCTTGATGAGAGAACGATCTACTTCAGACAAGCACCCAAAAGCTGGGAAACATACTTGAACGACTTTGGAGCTGAGCAAGCTAATGGCAATCAAGGGCACTCAGCACCTTGCAGGAGATGCTCAGCACTTGGTAGGATCAGGTCCTTGATCTGGAAATCTCACAGCCACAGTTTCTTGCCTGATGTTTCCTGGATTAGCAGAAATCAGAAATACCCGGAAACCGGACTTTTTTGCAGGCAAATATAGGAAGTGCAGAAACCTATGAGAATGTGAAGAAAAAAGAAAAGAGTGAAAGAAAAGTTAAGAGAACTTCATCAAAATAATAATAATAAAAAATAAGGTTCAGGGCTGCTCTGAATTTTGGTGCAAACCAGTTTATCCGTCTCCTCATGAAACACACTGGATTTGCTTTATAACAGGGTCTTTGTTAAATCAGAAATCTGATTGACTGCAGGAGTCTCTGTGGTGTAAGGAATACCCAAGATCACCAGCACAGATACTAATTTTTAATTAACATCTATTGTACACTTTAAGAAGGGCAGTTACACGACACACCCACCCTTCTCAGATAGCTGAAGACACTTGGAATTCAGCCTCATTTGCCTCACAAGCCATCTGAATCGTGCAGGCATCGGGGTCTGGATTATTATCCATGGACGGAAAACCAGCTGCGGACAGTTTGCTGGGTTGGTTTTCGTTAAATGTTCTATGGATACAAATGCTATTTTTAGGTTGTGAAACTTTTATCATCTAGAGTATTTATTAGAACAAAATTACAGTATGATAGAAATGGCTGAAACTATTCAAACGGTTGTTATAAGGGAGACAGGGAAAGGATTTTTAGCCACTCCGTATTTAACTGATGCATTCTGGAAACTGTAGTTCAGAGGACATATGTGTGGTGTTCTTTAAAAAAAAACACCTAATAATGCATGAGGCAGACATCAGAACTAAATATGGTTTCCTATGCAGTTACAGGTACTATACAACATACAGAATGCAGGTACTCTAGTTTTGGATGAACATTTTTAAGAAACAAAATGAGTTATTTGTTTTTGCCCTCCAGATATTTTTCCATGCTCCTGTAATTCCAAGAGTTTTTGCATTTTTCCCTATCCATCACATACAGGTCTATAAGCTGCAATTAATAGTTTTGAAACAGAAATATTATATAATGCCTAAGATATTAAAGTTCAAATTGCATCCACAAGGCCACATCACATTTGTGTGTGTGTGTGTGGATTTGTCTTCTTGCATTCAAATCACTCAATTAATGTATTTACAGCAATTAAACAATTAGATGGATCTAAATCAGATTGCAAAACCATCTATGATAACTGACCACAAATGACTTTTAAAAAATAAGCAGTATTTGCACAAAATATCCATTGAAAGTAATATTAAGTTTTTGGACAAATCCACAAATGCATGGAAATATCCCATTTCACTGGAGAAACCCCCCAAAAGCATTACCCAAATATGCCCCTTTGTGTGTGGAGTGTTGGCAGCTGAGGGTCCAGTCCAATTCCCTTGGAAGTCCATGGAAGTCCTGAAGTCAGTGGGAGTTGGATCATCACTTAAAAGCATGAACATTCCCATTTAAGAATTAGTTTTCAGTTCTTTAAAGGACTGGATCTGTTAATCATTGACTAAATTCCCTGAGCTTTAGCAATAGGTGGTGAATGCCCCCAACAGCTAAGCAGAAGGGGAATATACCATTACACATCAGAGGCCTGATCTAATACCAACTGAAATCAGTGGGAACTTTTCCATGGATATCATTGGGCTTTGGAGCAAGGCCTGTGAGGCATATTCATCCCTGGTATTATTCCACTGGCTTTCAAGGCAGTTAAACTGAAGATGGATCCATAAATGTAAAACCATTTTTTTCTAAAGTCCTGCAACATCCCTTAAGAACTCAGAGCCAAATTCATCCCTAATGTAAATCCATTGGTCAGTGGATTTATTCCAGGGAATAAATTATGCCCTTGGTGCCTCAGTTTCCTCATAGATAGAATGGGAATAATAAAACTAAGTTACCTCCCTGGGCTGTTGTAAGGATTAACATTTGTATGGCACTTTGAATAGGTAGAACACTATGGCATAGAAATCCTAAAAGTTATCCTCCTCCAGCCCCATTTGGATCACTGGTCCTGAATAATGTCCCAGCATGCAATTGTGTTGGTGACATTACTTCAACCAGAGAACACAAATGGGGCCTGTCCCTGCTCTGTGGGGGGTCAGGTGAGTGCCATCGTTTGATTATATGGTGCAATTTTGTGAAGATTGTAGTTGAGATGGGCCTGAATCAAAACCTGGGAGTTGGCAATCTGGCTCCAGATTCTAGGGCTCACTGTTTTGTAATATTATTTAATATCCAAAGGGTATAAAATATCATTAAAAAGAAAATCTTTGTAAATCACATAGTAAAACAGGCACATAGCTGTCAAACACCCCTCCCCCCAATCCTCTCTGGGGTCAGAGGTGTCCCTCAGAACAAGAGCAGGCAATGCAGGTGGGGCTGGATATTGTGGTTGGAGGTATCTGCTATTGGAAACCTTGGACACCGTTTGCGGCAGCTGAGGGAGTTCTATCCAAACGGATTGCAGACTCACCTTTGATGTTCTAGTAAATTCTATATTTTGTTATGTAATTTCAGTGAGGAACATGGTTTGTGCAGCACATACATAGGAATACATCTAACTCCTACCCCTGCCCTTTGAAGGGCAGGATGGCCAAGGACCCTAAAGGACAATTAAACCTCCTGGCCCCCGTCACATGCCTGATCCCCTTCTCTTTGTCCCATACTCCCTTCCCTTGAGCCCCCCACCCCCCTATGCCCTAGGTCTCCATCACAATCCCTGCCCTCTTCTCCTAGGCCCTCTCATACACCCTATTTTTCCTCCACTCCCTGATCCCCTTCCTTTTTACCCTCGTCCCCAATCTTAACCCTTTTTCAGGAGCCTCCCATGCCTGGTGGGTATTATTTCTCTGACGTCTCTGCCAGCCAGACTCTAACCTTTGTGTTGGGGATCTCTGGAAGTTCTTCTCTGCTGCTCCGACCAGTGCCAGTGGACCCAAAATGCTCTCCATGGTCTCTAGAAAACACCTACTGTGATCTCCCCACCTTGATTAACATCAGGGGAGCATCTTATTCAGGCACATGGTGTCCTCTACATTCTTTTTTAATTACTTTTCTCAGGATTCTGGGGAAAGGGGAGCTGACAGATTACCCAGGCCTGCCCCCTTCTTGGCTGGCATCAGGAAGCCTATCACTTTGGTATCTAAGTGCTGGTAGAGAGTCAGAACAAGAAGAGAACTTAAACTGAATTAAGTGCATTAGAAATCATCTAGCTGCTTGGCAGCCAGTGGGCGCTCAGGATTGCCCAGCGTTTTGAAACCATCCCCCAGGTTCTGAGCATGGTTCCCGAATGCTGGGGAATCCAGAATACTAACAGACTGGGGCGGAGTTCCACATGGTCACGTTCAACCTGGCTGGTCTTTCTGCATTAACACTTACATTTACTCTACCTTCTGTTTCTTGGATTTCGTTTAGAAGCACTTAGCTGCTGTGGTGATGGGAGCTACAGGCAATTTTGATAGAAAACATACATAAAGCAATTTACGGGCAGATTCCTCCATCCTTTTACGTTAAACAGAACCTTAATCTGTGAGCAGTCCCATTAAAATCCATAGGAGTAAGGGACTACTCCATCTGAGCAAGGGAGAATTATGTTTATGACTGAGTATCGCTTGGAGTATATGAGGTGATTTTGTGAGGGGGATGGATGCCGGAAGAGTATGGCTGACACCTAGATCACAAACAAAATAACATGCTTATACCAACATGGTGGTGTTGCACAGATCAGCTGCTTAGACACCATCTTGATTTTGTAGGGCCGGTTTTGTGGCTGGCCAGGTGAAACAATATGTTTCAAGATTTTTAATTTGTTGATATAGTTGCAGAACATTATTTGCTTGTTTTAAACGTCTGTAACTGAGATGAGAGAGTGGATGCAAATGGGGGGTAATGAGGCAGATTGTGCTCTCAGTTACACCCTGGGAGCTCCGCTGGCATAAATGGGGGCACAGTTTCGCCTGGGTTCTGGGTTGTGTAAAGTCCTAGCTTTGTGTGTTTCCTGGTCCAGGAGATAATGCGCTAAATGACTGCTTTGTGCACAGAGGTATGGAAAACTTTTTTTTTTTATGTTTTTCCATCCCTCCCTCCTCTTTCCATTCTATGATCCAGACACCACTAACTGTGTGGAGTTGATGACTGGCAGACTTTCCAAATGTGGTAAGAACTTCCCTTCTGCCTTCTATCCCTCCCCAGCCCCTGCTGACTCACATAATGTCCTCCTCTCCTCCCACTCCTTTTGCACATCTGCCCACCCCCTGACAACTCCCTATACCTCTCACTTACCTTCTGTACATACGCACACCTACTCCTGTTCCTCCCCATCCATACCCCTACACACAGGGCTCATCACAGTTTCACCCTGCACTGCACAAGTGTGCTTTGTTCACTTGTGAGTTTCTCCCCTCACTCTAATCCATGCCCGCTGGCATTTTTGCTTTTTCGCCTTTGACTCAGACTTCACTTTGAAGTCGCCTTTCTGTGGGTGAGGCTGTGCACCACAATCCCTGCTTTTGAGTTGCTGCCTCCTGGTGTCTCCTGCAACGGAGAGAGAATCCTACTTGAATTCCTCTCCTCATCACTCCCTCCTCCGCTCCCCCTTGTGTGTTTGGGGTAATCCCCTCTTTCTCCTGGAAGTCCACTGCATAAGACAGATCCCACATTATGGGCCAGAGCCTCAGCTGGTGTCAATCAGCATAGCTCCAGTCTGACTCTGAGGATTGATATTGCCCCTCTGGGACCAACCATAGTTTAGGCTTTTTACTAGGGATGGATTAACTTGTTTGACCTTGCTCGAGGTTCCACACATTTCATTTAAATTTAAACACACGCACATAGATTTTTCCTTTCTTCCTGTGCATTTGCCCCTCCTGGTGAGAGCAGAAGTGGAAATGCCCAAATACACTGAGGTAGGTTTCTCTCTTGGTACTTCTGGCCTGAACAGAAACAGGAAGTCCTGAAATGAAAACAAGAGAGCCTCCTCCCTTTAGATGTCCAATCCAGGATGGCAGGCCTGAAACATTCAGATGTTTATCTGAACCTGAAGTCCAAACCTGTTTAGGATCTCCTCACTGAGTCAAATACAGCCAAGTAACTTCTTTAACTTCAGTGAAGTTGCTCTGAGTGTTACAATGGAAGTAATATAGGGTTTACAGAAGTGTAGTTGAGAGCAGAATTTGGTCTGTTACCTTTTATCCGCATGATCTCTTTCCATTAAATTACAGTTTCACTGGAAGGAGTTTTTCTGTTTCTCTGAAGGGGGTTCATTTTGATTTATTATTTAAGTTCCTGGGTTATGTTGTTCCCAGTCTCCTCTTGGAGGCTCATTTATGTCCTAGGCAGATCTCCAGCCTCTCCATAAAAACATCAAACAGCAAATCTCTCCTCTCCCTTAAGCAGCAGTTAGTTGCCTGGAACCGGCAGCAATATCATACAAAAATACTGAAATTCAGATTCCACTGATTGCTTGAAAGTTAATTGAACTACACAGAAAACCAGTCAGTGCTCTGCACTCTCTAAACAGTGTGTCTACTGCTGTTCATCTTCTGCCCAGCCACGCCCACCAGCTGTCACAGTGTCAGCTTCAGTACTAGCAAGGGGAAAGGAGAATGGAGGAAAGGCCAATGAAAGCAAGCATTTTGTAGGCAATGGGACACTAAAAGCAAATTAGACTCTTTTTTCCCCCCAGCTCAGGAATCCGAAAGCTCTTGTGAGAATGAGAAACACTTTGCATCATCTATAAACTATTAACTGGTGTGACTGGGACAAATTCATCCCTGATGTTACCCCTTTAACTGCTTCCTGGCCTCCTGATGTCAGTGCCCATTGGGCTGAACGGTGACTTTGTATATAGTGACTGGCACTAAAAAAGAAAGAGTTATCACTGTTCATAGTAGTGAGTAACCAGAAGCTTGCCATGGGGGCTGCATGTCTGATAATGATACAAATGCTGCTATCTCTGTCCTAAATATTTATCCTAGAAAACAGCCATCAGCTCGCTGTGATATTTCATTGTAGGAAAAAGGAAATATTTTGACTTATAATACGGTCAATATCCTTATGAGCTAAACGTTTGCTCTTTATTTTGAACCATTGATTTATGGAAATGGGGAATTTCTCAAATCAAAGAATAATACAGTTTCTGTCGTGAATTAATACTGGTGTAATAAAAAACCAACATTACCACGTAAAAGTTAAAACCTTCAAGTTGTAATCTGAAAAATAGCACCTAATTCAAAAAATCTGTTCCTTGTATGTATTCAGAGTCAAATCTGCTTGCTTCAGTGACAAAAATAAGCTTCATACTTATACTTTATACTCTTGTTAAGCTAGGCAGAGTCAATACAGCTATGAAAGGAACTGGATTCTGTTCCTTGTGGTGGATCGACAACAGATTGTTTACCAAGTTCCAGCCTGTTACAGCTGCCCATCCCATTGGAGAAAAAGGGGTTCTATGGATGACACTCAGAGTCTAATTTGGCCCGCAGAACCCATTTTGTTTTGTTTTTACTGACGATCATGTGCAACCTGGAAAAGCCTGGGCTCAGGTGTGAAAGGTTTTAAAAAATATATATCTTTATATTTGTAAACTGAACAGATTTGATCTGGAGCCACTGAAGCACAATAAACATAGAAATGCAGCAGGTTGTTTCAGCATCAGAGTAGAACTCACTTTAACTATAGGACCATAAGTCAAGTTTTTATTCTGATGTTGCACCAGTATTAAAGCTGACTGTGAAACTGGTTTTGGTCTCCGAAGGTGCCTCCTCCACTCCATTTCCAATTTTGTTGGAGTCACAAATGATCACCTTTCAGCAAGATGTTATCTGCTGGCAGGAGGCTCAGAAATGTCCCTCCGATCTAAAACTTGATTTTCCATTCCTGCCTCGGTTTGTGTGAAGTGCTTGCCATTCACCGTGTGAACTTTCTGATCTCCATACTGGACCTCTTTGCTGCTGGTTATCTCACTCTAGGGAAGGCAGTCTTTGCTCATTTTCTCTTCATGTCTCATGACTCCATAGTGAAGCCCTAAGACTATATCATGAACAGTTCCATGGCCGTGGATTGTGAGGCAACGAAGAAAGGATTATTATTTATTATCTGTATTACAGCATCAGCTAAAGGCCCAAGTCAGACCAGCACCCTATTGTGCTAGGCACTGTGCAAAAATATAGCAAGAGATATAGCCCCAAAGCGCTCATAATCTAACTTCTTTGGCACCAGGCTGTTCAGGAGCTTTCATGTCGACTCTGATACATCTTGCATTGAGTACTTGTACTGTGAAACTGTGGGCTCTGTCACCAAGAGTTAAACATGAATCATCCTGGAGTCCTTCGTTTGCCAGTGACCTTTACGGAAATGCCATAACCTCAGTAGAAGCACAGCAGCGTCCAGCTACTGTTCACATCATTCCCCCATCCCAGGCTCACTTTTATCTCTTGCTTATTTATTTCTTGTAGAGCTGGTCAGAGCTTCCTACTCAGAATAAGGAATCATGTGACCTAAAACTCAGCATCCAGGGTATCTCTATGCACAGTGAGTGATTGTACTGTAGAAAAGGCTCCTCTTTCTATCTCCTAGCGAGATGACTTGAGCTGTATACAAGTGTCAGTGGTCAGAGCGCACCATCCTGAGTGGCTGTCTGGTTTAAGCTTGATTAGACTGTAATTAGGCTCCAACTGAAGTGGGCAACTTTGTGATAGCTAATGTGGAGCCCCTCACTGTTATCTATAACCAGGAGTGCAGTGGCAGAGAATATCCTGAGCTGCAGCTCCCTTACAATGACCTTGTAGGCATTGGACAGTCGTTCTGTTCCTTATGGAAGCCCCCTGCCATTTGCTCTGCCCCCACCCCCTGAAGAGAAGGGACACGGGGGCACCAAATGTGTGCAGCTCTCCCATAGTGGAAGGCATGGCTCACCATGTTCATGCTGTGAGCAGGACAGAAGGGAACATTCAGGTTTTTGATTAAATCTGACATTTCTCGGTATCCTGCTGGCTACCAGCCATTACATATATAATTGATGCAATTGGATTGATATTGATGCAAATTGTAACCCCAGCCATGGGGGAGTGGATCTGGGGGAGAAGTCCACCATAAAAGATCATAATCTAATCAGGATTTAACTATCACAAGAAACACTACAGGCCAGAGTTTCCAAAGAGCTCGGGACCAGATTTCCAAGCGCTCAACACCCACAACTGGGGCCAGATTTTCCAAAGAGCTGAGCATCCAGCAGCCCCTATGGTGACACATGGGGCCAGACTTTCAAGTCTCCAACACCGGGTGTCTTCCTCTCTTAGTAGAGCAATATGTCTGCCTGCAGAAAACTCAGAAATGTCTGTTTTGATTAGGAATATTACCATACAATCTGCACTTTATTTATGTCAGTCAGTGCCTCTGAAGGTCCCATGTGAAAGTCGCAGCACTGTGCTGTGCTAAATAGGAGTGGCTTTCCTTTTCCTGAAACACGGTGTTGTTGAGATTACTTCACAGGAAATAGGAGGTGAGAGGCAAGAGGCAAGGAATGAAATTTTCACCAGTGCCACGTTGGGGACAGTTCGGGGAACTTAGAACTTGTGAGATCACAGTTGGCTGTCTGATAGGAAGGGGCGAATCCTGAATATTTTTCTGGCCCCGGGAGCATCATATGTGGACAGAAGCTGGGGATTGGGAAGCAAAGGTCTTTAAGACAATGGACAGTGGCAATGCCCGTGATGCTGGCTGTGGCCATAGCTTTAAGAAAGAACCTTTCATTAAAAGAACTCCCTGTGATGAATTTCCTGTGTTTGAAGGCCAAACCATTTGCAAAGAGGGCATCTTTCAACACCAAAAGCTTAGGCCCCTGCCCCCGACACTCTTCTGGCATTCTCTCTGCATTGCCAGCAGCTGTTCAAATGCACACACAACTCCTTCCACCGGTTCACTGTAATGTTGTGTGACAGTAGTGACTTGGCCAGTGCTAGCTCTTGGTAGTGATTTTTGTTTGCAATGATTGATTGCATGTCTCTGGAGTACAAAATGTTCCTGAAATGTAGCAGAAAAGAAAGATGCAAGAGAGCCCAGAGAGGGAAAATGTGTGCAAGAAAGGGGCAGAAATTGCCACCTGAATACATATGGCCAATTGCAAATTGTAACCTTCCCTCTTGCATGGCAGACTG